GACCAACATCACCTCAGTTTCATCCAAGTTATTTGTGACCTCCCATATGTGGTGCAGACTAGCAACCATTCCCTGCAGTGAACCACCTGATCTGTTGTATATTTCCTGCAGCCCCAGCGCCCCCTTCAGTTTAATCTGAAAATAGATTTGTCTTTTTGTAGCTTTGAGCATAAAATTATTTAAAAAAAAGATAGGATTGTAAAATGAAAGAAAGGCATAGATGAAAGCAGGAAGTATCATATCAGTTGCTAAAATGACCAAAATCATGTTTCAGTAATCTAATTGATTTGAAACGTACCTGGTGAACTTTTCTCTGTTTCTAAAGACATTGCAGTGTGCTAAAAGCAAGACTCCTGTGTTGCCCATCCTGATTCTAAAAACTCACACAAACATATGTTCACACAAACTGGACCTAGTTTCTGTAATTGAAATTATTGTCAATGTTCTGCAGGATTCAACGTGACAAGGACTTTGCTGAAAAGAAGGCTGAGAGGGCAAATCTGAGAATCGCACTCAGAGATAAATACCGTCTACCTGATGTAAGAAAACTTTTACTCATCGTCCATTTGTTCTAACATGTTGCAAAGGTTGATTCACTGAAAGATGAAAAGCACAGCTTAGTGCTGATTTGATTGCTTATGTATTTATATGTTTTTGTTTTTCCATGAATTACTATGTCTAACAACATTCTAACCTTTATGAATTTTACCAAAATTATTTGGCGTGTGTCTTTGGGAGGTGGGATAATTATAATAAAAACAAATGAAAAAAAATCAGAAAACACCTGCAGACATGAACGTGTGCTTCTTCATAAACAATCAGGACCAAGTTCAAACCTTGAAAACTGAGGCTTGTTGCATCAAAACAACAAAGGCCTACAGCAGGAAGTGTTAAAATTACAACACTGTTGCCCATTAAAGAGGGATAAAACATGTCTTTTGTCAAGCTTTATTCTTAATTGCACATTTAAGGTTAAGTAGTCATTAATAAAGAATATAGTTAATTGCATTTTTGGCGTAAATGCAACATGAATGCTGAAATACCTTTCTAAAACTTATAGGATAATAATTTTTGCTACAAGCTAAAATGAGCTAAGCTAAAAGCTACAATCAGCAATAAGTAGCTATAAAAAAGAAGCAGACAATAACAAATCTAGGATTCTGAAGAAAATATATTTTTATAGGAATTCAAGTGATCTGAATGTATTACTGTGAGAATTAGTTTTGTAAATAAAGTTATATGAATAATATATAATATCTGATAAATTAGTGTGTAAAAAGTCATTGTGTTGAGTGTTAGCGTCTTTCAGTTTTTATAAGTACAAAACAATACAAAAACTTTGGTATAAATCCTAAATTATCATCATTCATTTGTCTGATTCTGATCGTTGCAAATTTCTGATCTTTCATTCCATTTTTGACAGAGTGCTCAAGATTCTGCAATGTCTCAGATGGCTGGCGATGACGTTGACCTGCCTGAGGAGCTGGCGAAAATGGTGGATGAAGACGAAGAGGAAGAGGAGACCAACGATTCTTTCATGAATAAGCTTCAAAATGTGGATCTGGATGCACTGAAAACCAAAGCCCAGAGCACAATGACTGAGTTAAAGCAAACTGCAGAGGAAAAATGTACCGTCATGTAATGCATAAATACACATTATTCATGGTCCAAACCCAGTCTTTCAGGAAAAAAAAAAACAATTGCATATTGTTGCTGAACTGTCATTTTTACACTTTCTCTCATTATTTGTATCATAGAACCACTTTAAAAAGCTTCTTTACTGCAAAGTTCTTAGTTTTCTAGTTTTTATATATATACATACTGTATATATCTATTGCATTGTTTTGGTTAAAGTATATGGAACGTCTTGATTGAATGTATTATTTTTAAAGACAATTTTTTACAAAAAAAATCCAGATTGAGCTGATCATGTGACTTGTCCGCATTTAACCGACCCCTTTCCTTCATGTCCCTGTCCTCCCCCTGCAGCTGACCATCCCCCTTTCCCCCTGTAAGCTGACACAGCGCCTTCAAACATTAGCTGCTTTCGTCCTAATAGGATCTGGAGGACTTATATTGTCATCTGATAAAACTAAGGCGCTTGATAGCTGTGCTGCACCCTCTTAACCAATTTGTACTCAATTAGGATAATGGGAAAACAAGCAAAGAGGGACAGCTTTAATATATTAATGTGATAAAATGATTATCAGTTTCTCTTGTCTTTGACTTGGGTGCTATTAGGAGCATGTCATAAGGCTAATATCAGCATAAACCAATGATGAAGGAGGGGGCAAACAATAAAAAAACAACATGAGAAATTTTAATTAGATTTAAATCAGGATTAGACCTTATCTGTCAAAAGTAAAAACAGGAATTCATAGTACAGATGTCTAAATAGACAAGTGATATTTTGATTTTTATTTTATTGTGTCTCTTGATTATTTGTGGCTCATTTAAAAAATATATATTAAAACTGAAATATTGTCAGTTGTTCCAGGCCTTTGTCTTTGATGTTACAGAGCAGGTGATGAACCACTCTGGTTGTGTTGAAGTTCCTTGATTTGGGACATTGCAAGTCAGAGAAAGGTTTCGAAAATCCAAAAACATCAGAGGCCTGACTTTCTTTATAGTCACCATATGGCAGCAACCTGCTCTGTGGCAAATCCTTGTGGGCATCTTTAAGTCCTTGTGGGCATTTTTAAGTCCTTTACTTCATTCAAAGACAAAAGTAATGGGCTTTTCAAACTCCCCATTCTTGGAAAGCAGCATTGACAACCAAGAAAATGTTGTCAGCCAAAAAGCCTGGTAATCCACAACCAGTCTGTTCAGAGAGGGCAGGGGTAAGTTAAGCATTTAAAATTCAGCTGCTCTGAGTTGTGCACATTGTTAGTTCATGTCAGGACACTGAAAGTTTTCATCTGTTATTCAACAAAACTGTTTGCATCGTGCAGAATTTGCATTCACTGCAAACACAATGAAGCAAGACGATATTTTAAAAGAATTGGTCCACTGTAGAAAAAGAAAAATTCCTAGACGGAAACATTGAATAATTATCATTTTAAAAGGCTGTGTAAAGCTTGAATTATTTTCAAAATTTCAATGCATATTAAATTTAAGGTTGGTATAACTGCAATATTTTACCAACAAACAAGGTTATTTCTAACATTTATTGCTAAAGGTTTGTGGAAAAAAAAACTCATGCAATGCATAGAATATGTGTTCTGACACATGACTCTCAGCTACTACCACAGCAAACTTTAGCTTTTTATCTGTAAATAAATGTGATCGAATTGTAGATTTTGTGTGTGTTTTGTAAGACCAGTTAGCTGTGTCAGCCATCTTGGATAATTCTAAAGGTTAATTTATTTTTTATCCATTTACTCAAAGGAAAACTCCTTGAGATGTACCATCTGATATTCAAGGGGGTCCGTACAAATTTGTAGAAGTATGCAATAATTCAGTGATTCCCAACCACGGGTACATGTACCCCTTGGGGTACTCAAGCATATTACAGGGGGTAAGTGGAAAAATTTCCCAGGTGTGTGAAAAATAAATAAAAGTAGGACTGAGATTTGTAGGGTCCTATGGTTTCTGCTATGTAGAAATTACAGATGGAATCACGGAATTAACACAAAATGGAATCCAGTATAAAACATGGAATCTCATGGAATTTGCTCTTTCGGGTGAGTTTCTGACGTATTTTGGACAATGCAATGTATTTTGGAAGCTGCTGTTTTCTGCACCTGCCATTACCTTTTTATTTGTTTTATTACTTATTCACTTTCAAGGCAACTTTTTTTACCTTTATGTTTAATTTGAGTTGAAAAAAAGGCCTGAGAATTAAACATTCTAGGGAGTTATATGAAAATTTTTCATTTAATAATCAGTATAGCACATTATAATTTTGGAGACTCATCATTACGTTTGACTGAAAGAGTACTAGTGCTATGACAAATGCACCTTTCCACTAGTGCCACTTATGTAGTGTCAGTATGGTTCGGTACGGTACGGTTCCACGCCATTTCCATTAGGCCAGATTCTTGGAACCAGCCATTTTTTTTAGTATCTACTTCGTTGTGGTTCCAAGTGGTCCTAGTCGACACCAAAATGAGACATCAGAATACTGTTCATCACTGATTGGCTAGGGGGTCGAGTCACTGGTTGTGTCTAAGCTGCCTTTACAAGAACAGCAAGGAGCCATTTTTTCAATTGTAGCAGCGACATTAGTCGTGTTTCCATCCAATTTTAATTCGAATCTTTAGCAAATTTTTAAAATTTCTGAACTTAATGGGCAAATGTGTTTCTATCTCTCATTTTGTGCATCAAATTTTTTCGTAAAACCCAAAAACCACCTCCACCAACCACACAAAACTCACCCACTGGAACCGGACTAGAACGTCAATGACGCACCAACATTACACTAAGTAGCACCAGTGGAAAAGGGGCAAAAATGGCTCAGGGTGTGCACACGTCTAAAACGTTTGGGAACCACTGCAATAATTAATTATTAACAGTTTTATTCTAATCTGTCTCGTTATTCACAAGATATTTTGCAGACAAGCAAACTCCAAATCAGCAATGTTCAATTCTGGTCCTTGAAGGGCCTCAATCCTGCATGTTTTGTTGACTGGATTACCTCTTCAAGTTCTATGGAAGCCTGATAATCCTGCATTCGTTCAAGTCAGGTGTTGGAGCTGAGAACACTCTAAAACACTCTGGATGATGGCCCACAAAGACCAGGACTTGACAACTTCAATTGTCAACGTTTTTAACAAAAAAATCTTATGTTTTGAGGGTCAGTCTCAGCTACCTCATATTTTGGTTGTGGACAATATTAACCAACGATACACAAATAAATTTAATGGGTCAGCCCACATCATATAAGAACATTAACTGAATCTACAATTTTTTGGTAATAATTTCTCCATGCTGGCTTTTGTGTCTGACGTCCAAAGGGCTCCTAAAAATATCTTCAGGTAGGGGGAGTGAGGTCAGAGGAAATCTCCGGTGAAGTCTTTAGGCTCATTAAGGATGGGCTTGATCTCTGCAACACCTACTATAGCAGCAGCTTTGATTGGTGCCAGCTGGCAACGGAGAAACTTACAGACTGTAGGATAAACCCCGCTCCACCTCCTGATGCCCCCCACCTAAATTTCATCATGAACTATTAGTTTTCCAACTTTACTGCTCATGTTTACCCAACGTCGAACCAATTTAAAGTTTATGAAAGCGGTGTGGATTAACGTCTTATTTAATAATTGTTACATTTAAAGTAAAAAGTTAGGTTTGTAATTTATGTTTGTTTTAAACCAGTTTAATTTAAACTCTTCAACTTCTTGAGTACTTTTATAAGAGTAAAAAAGGGGGGATCCTTTTCATAATTTGTTATTTCCAAAGCAAATATTTACACACCCCTTTAGTGTAAAACTATTTATAAAGTTGTTACTGTGCAACCATCCATTTTTGGTCCATCTCCGTGCCTTTTCTTCACAACATTGTCTATAATGAAGGGATTAACAAAAACTCTCAATACAACCTATTATCTTTCAGACAATGGGTTTTTTGAAAGAAAGTTTTGTTGAAGCTTCATTAGCAAAGGCCTCCCTCTGTGGTCTGAAAGCAGGACACATTTGGAGCAATTACTTGTCCAGAAAACAACTGTCAGTCATTCTTAAGGGGGAAGGATTCCAATTATTAAACCTCTTAAACCCTTTGGTTTTACTACCAGTCCCCCCCC